TTCTGTAAGTATGCAAGTGTATCATTACTTTCAGACTGAAATACAACACCATCCAAATATGCAGACTTTCCAGACTTCCTGATTCTGTTCTATAAAAAAGAAGTAATACATTGTCCAAACGCCTTTTATCACCGGTGCTGGTTAAGATGTACATTCTAATTATTTTATACAGCAGCAACACTCGTTTTTAAAACCAGAAAGCAGGCAGTGTTGGAAATCAGACCTTAGGTTCTGGCTCTACCACTTCGGGCCTGACCTCGGGCACAGGTTCCCAGCCCCGGCTGCCTCTCCAGGGACTCAAAAGTACGGGGACCAAAGGTGGGAAGGGAGGAGCGCTGGCCTTGCATTCTCGTTCCTCGGTTGATTTATGGATGAGATGCTACTCTTCTTCAGTAACATGAAAGATCCCAACGCCCACTTCGCAGGTACTGCACAGGCCGGAAGTGCGAGAGCTGGTACTGCCAACGGGGTCGCACCAGTGCTGCCCGGGCAAGGACGCCCTGGAAGTTAAAGCCAACGAGAGCCCACTATGACGTCTGGCCTGCATCACCCTGTCACAGTCGTTCTCATGGGACAGGGGCGACTTGCGGACAGCTGGCAATGGGGACGTTTCCGGTTATCTGGCATCTAGTGGGTGGAGGCCAGGGATGCTGCTAACCAACAGCCCTCCAACGCGCAGGACGGCCCCTCACAACATCCCGCCCTGGGTCTCCGAGGGAAGCCGGCCTCACAGGCCCCAGCTTTCTAACTCCGGCGAGCGGCCGGCCCCTCCGGCCAGTTCCCCGCCCGCGCTTCGGGCTACACCTTACCTCACAACCCAGCCTCCTGCGCTCACAGCTCTCCGGCGACGCCTGGAGCGCGGACGGACGAAACGCGGCGCGCAGAGCCTGTCGGGAGCACGCGCCACAGCCGTCCGCACGAGTCGCCTCCCGCGCTCAGCTTTGTTGCGCGAGGCGGGCCCTGCGTCACTTCCGCCACGAATCTCGTCCCCCGCTCCGCCCCCGCGAGTCTGTAACCAAGGGCAACTGTCGCCCTAGCCCTCCGGTCGGGACTGAGCTGTCCCGGGGCCTTACACCCGCTAGCGCCCGTGAGTGTGTGCGCGGCCGCGGCCGCTTCCCCGCCTCTGGGGCAAGACCCTAGACCACTCCCCGGGCGGCAGAGCGAGAGGTACCTGCCCGGTTGAAAGGGAGCAGCCCTCGAAGGCGCGGAGGCAAAAACAAGAGGTAGACCGTGCCTGGGAGGCGACGATTGGGCGGGGCCTGAGGGGGAGCGGCGCGGAGGGGGTGGGGCTGTGGGAAGGGCCGTTAGGAGGGCGGAGCTCTGTGAGGGAGGAGCCACTGGGAGGCGTGGAGGGGCCTGGCGGGAGAGTAGGGACGTTTTGCTGGAGAGGCTAGCTCTTCAAAGAAGGGAGACGTCTTTTGCGGCAAGGTAGGAGCCGCTGGAGAAAGGGAGGGAGCGAGATGAAGACGAAAGAGGGATCATGGGAGAAGGGGAGGAGCCTTCGGGGAAGGGGCGGCCTATTGTAGGAAAGCAGGAGCCAGGCGTCAAGTGCCTGCCCCAGGAGCCACACGTGCAGTGCGTGTTTGATGACTTGCTCCTTTGTGTAGACTGTCAGGGGTGTGACAGCCTGGAGGAGAGGCGTTGCTCTACTGTTTTATTCCCAGTGCTAGGCATTTAATTAGTGAATGAACAAATGTGGGTGGAAAAAGCGGGAGAGTTGGAGACTGGGATTGGAGTACAGATGGTCTGATAGGAAAGGATAGTTGTATAAAATGAACTCCTAGGAATTATTCTGTAACTAATCAAAGCTGCTGTGCTCTGTGACCACAGAGTAAGCCTAAGACACAAATAACACGGGGAGATTCATACTCTTGAAAATGTGAAAATTATGCAAGTTCAGTTGTACATGTGTGTGTAACTTTGAGACAAAGTTCGAACTCCCTGCGGAGTTGTGTTTCAAAACTGTAAAGAGTGAAGTATCGTTTTCTTAGAAACTATATCACCAGTGATCAGCATGCCAAAGGCCAATCTTCAAGCCCTAATTTAACCACTTCCTATGTGTGAAAACTTAGCTCTGTATTAAGAAATGTAACTTCTACTATGGCTGTTTCTATTTTATTGATTTCTTTATTCAACACATTGATAAGGATCTACAGAAACATCCATTCAGAATTTCAAGTGAGGCTGCCAGAAAACCATCTTTCCCTGGCCGAAATTCTGACATTGCTTCAAGATTCTTTTAAACGTGAAATTTTTAGGAAGATGACTGTAGGTGTGACGGCATGGTGTAGAGTCAGAGGTAGCAAGGAGTTTTGAGGGATAAACAGCCTTGGTTTTGACATAGGCAGCCTGTTGTTGACTGAAACACCCAGAGCTTTTCTCCTGTCACAGCCCATCAATATTCTCCCCAAGTTAATTGATTAAGAATGTATTAACAAGGTGTAGAAATCTAGGGCAAGGCATTTGTATTTGTAGTTTGGATAGACAAGCAGTGGTAAATAGTGGCACATTTGCATCCGCTCTGCCTTCTTTATTCTTTGGCAGACATCATTAGTCAATTATAGGCCTCTTTCCTGTAGTAACCAAGTCTTAAAATCCTCTCAACACAACACTCTAGTTGTGTTGGAACTATTTGGAACTGATATTTTGGGACCTATTCTTCATATCTAATATAGACAATAAATATTTTAAAAATTAATAGACATCACTGTAAATGTAAGTTTCTATAATTGATAATTTTTAAGAATTAGGATTACCTAAATTGATGGATCGAGAATCCTGTAGATGATATTTAGACATGTAGGCCAGACACTTGTATAGTGAGGTGAACTTGGAGCTGGTTGGGTCATTAGTAAACACCCAAGCACAAGGAATATCCACAGGACAGTGTCTTATTACAGGAGGTATGCTTGTTGAATTAATGGAGTCTTAAAATAGGAAGGAACAGGCCAAACTGTAGCATTTCAGAGTTAGATTCAGAATTATCTAAGCAGGTTGGGATGATCCAAAAAGAGGAAACTGTAGAAGGATCTGATACATTTGGAGGTCTAGCTAAAAAGAAGAAAAGCAAAAAATTTTTAAAAAATCAGTGGCGTGGAGTGAATGATGTTGGAATGAAGAAGGCAGGGATTGTTAACAATTCATGTGAAAAAATTAGTAGTTGACTTTAAGCTCAGTGTTAACCAATCAGGATATAGCTTTTTAAAAACACAGCAGTCTTTGTTCAATTAACAGATGTAGATTTCATATCAAAGGGAGTCAGATTTCAAAACAGACATTTCTAGCCAGAGCACATTTGAAGTATTGCCCTCATTTCTAGGTACTACGTTTTAAAGACATTTACAAGCAATCAATCGTACATTCTTAAGATAAGGGAGTGTCTGAAGAAATGATAGCTGTCTTCAGGTATTTTCGGGATTATCCTGTGTTGCTTTGGGAGGAACACCAAGAACTGAGGAGCAAAATTTTTAGTCTTGCAAATGTCTTGATTTGAAAACATTCTAATTTTCAGAACCTGCAAAGGAATGAAAAAAAAATAATGAATTCTCAGATACTAAAAATACTTAAGCATAAGTTTTTACGCTGAATTATCATCTTGATTTTCCATTGCTGCCATGTTCTCTGTTTAGGATCTCAGGTTGAAATCAAGGTGTCAGACAGGCTAAACTCTTTTATCTGGAGAGTCTAGGGAAGATCCACTTACAAGATTATTCAGTTTATTGGCTAGAGATTCAGTTTCTGTGGTTGTAGGACTGAGGTCTCCATTTAATTCCTGACTGTCAGTCAGAGACTGCTCTCAGTTCCTAAATGCTTTCTACATGCCTTGACACATCATCTCCTTCAAAGCCAGCAACTTGCCTGGAATTCCTCTGATGCTTCAAATCTCTCACTGCTCTGCTGCAAGCCAGAGAAAACGCCCTTGCTTTTAAAAAGTTCATATCATTAGATAAGGCCCAACCAGATGATCTAAGATAGTTTTCCTCTCTTCAGGTCAACTGATTAGTAGCCATAAGTACATCTGCAAAGTCCCTTTTGCCATGTAATATAATATATTCTTGGATGTTATATCTTATATTTATAGTCTCAGGGATTACGATGGGAAAACTTGTGGAAGGAGGATTTACAGAATCCACTTTACATTATTTTTCAGGAATATTATAGAAAAGCTATTGCAACAAGGTATTTTTACCCATTTTTTCTCTATTAACATAAATTAAACTTGTATACTATTAACTCCACCTCTAATCAGAGTTTTGTCTTTGAAATAATTCAGTCATACTCCTGGTCTTTCAAAGACATGGAGCTGTATTCCTGATACTTTCAATCTGTTATGTTCATATTTTGCTCTGATACATACTAACCTGACTTTGCACAGAATATCTACAATCTGTTCCTTTCTATAGTGCTAAAATATTTTTATTTTTTATATTTTTCCCATAGCAGAACTATACATTTCTTTTCCTTCCTTACCTGAAGTTGGTTCTCTTTTGCTATCATCACATAGCTTCATATACAGTAGCTACAATTTAGAGGACTAACTAGCGCTATAGTTCCCTTTATCTAATTCTCCATCCAGTTATTTAAAAAGCTATAGCTGGTTTCTTTCTTTTGCTTTAGGTATAATGGCAAATGCTCAGTGAAATAAGCCAGGCAGAGAAAGACAAGTACCAAATGATTTCCCTCATTTGTGGAGTATAACAATGAAGCAAAACTGAAGGAACAAAACAGCAACAGATTCACAGACTCCAAGAAGGGACTAGCGGTCACCAAAAGGGAGGGGTAGGGGAGGGCAGGTGGGGAGGGAGGGAAAAGGGGACTGAGGGGTATTATGATTGGCACACATGGTGTGTGGGGGATTATGGGGAAGACAGTGTCGCACAGAGAAGGCAAATAGTGACTCTGTGCAGTGACTGCAGTGGGATATGGGGGGGACACGATAACGTGGGTGAATGTAGTAACCACATTGTTTTTTCATGCGAAACCTTCATAAAAGTGTGTATCAGTGATACCTCAACAAAAAAAAAAAGCTATATCCTAATCTTGAGTAACACTGAGCTTAAGGTCAGCAATATTAAATTTTCATCTTTAAAGCTAAACTCTTTTCCAAAGTATACCCATTTAACTCTACTACAAGCAGCATTTAGATGTATTAACAGGCTTTTAAACCTTTACCAATATGTTGGGCATGTTGTGCTATCTCATTATAATTTTTTTAAAAATTATCACACTGTAAAATTAACTTACAGTTGCTGTAAAGTTCTATGAATTTTAACATGTATAGATACCAATCTGTCACCATGTTTGGTGCCATGTTTAAGAACACTTTTCCTAACCCTAGGTTGTGAAGATTTTCTCATGTTTTCTTTTAAAAAATACATAGTTTTATGATTTATATTTAGAATTATGATCCATTTTGAGGGTTTTTTTTTGCATATGGATAATCAATTGTTGTAACACCATAGTGAAAAGACTATTCTTTCTGCTTTTAATTATTTTTGCATCTTTGTCAAAAATCCATTTGCCGTGTTTGTGTGGGTATATTTTCTGGACTCCTGTTCTACCCCATTGATCTGTATCTCTCTCCTTTCACTGATGCCATGCTGTTTTGATTCCTATAGCTTTTAAAATTGGATAGTATAATTCCTCCACTTTATTATTCCTTTTCAAAATTGTTTTAGTTATTATAGTTCCTTTGCCTTTCCCAACAAATTTTAAAACCAGCCTGTCAGTATGTATAAAAAAATCCTGTCTAGATTCATATCTTAATATTCAGCAGTGTATTCCTCCAATTTCTTCTTAAGATTGTCTATATATTCATGGGCCTTTGTATTTTCACATACATTTTAGAACCTAAAACATTGAAAAAAATTTTAAGTACAGAATTATAATGTTATGGGCACATAATTTTATCTTCCCCAAATCTAACACTTTCTATTCCCAGTGGTCCTGGACTCTTATTTTCAAGGATCATGTGCGTCCACATTTTAGGTAGTGACACTTGTAGTACATAAAGGCCACTTGCTTTATATATCACCTCTTACGATAACAAGCTAGTGTGGTACCAAGACTACTTCTGGTCACCAAAATCTGGCTTCCTTTTCCTTCTGGAGATAGAAGAGGAAGTATTATCTCTACTTCTTCTAAAGTTAGGCAATGCCTTGTGATTTGTTCAGATAATGACATGGGGATCGAAGTCATACAAGCTACTTCCAGGCAGAAGCATCTGAGAGCCAGTGTGTGATTCTCCCCTTGTTTGCCATCACATCTGGCTATGGTTTCCCACGATGGTGCCTCCATCAGTTCAAGTCCCAGAGCGAGGATAATGTGGAGCAGAGTCCCGACACCACAGACATGTAGCCTGCATCAGAAACTTTTCTTGTTTTTTACCCCTGGGGAGAAAATTAGTTTTACTTGTTATTACAGCATAACTTTGCCTGTCTTGACTAACACTCTATAGCTGAGGCTAACAAACAGTAACCATGCCAAACTAATGTGTACCCTGGCAAGGCTGCCAGGGCAACCTTTTTCGAAAAGGACCTGGCTGCTTGAGTCATACCTGGGGCAAACAAAGAAAGAACAAAAAAACAAACATTCAGTTTTATGGGGATTTTTTAGGAGATCCATTTCTAACTTCACTTCCATTGAAATGATAACCACATTTTCACCTTGATCAAAGAAATATAAAGAATACAGAGAAACAGAACGGCCCCTTCTATACTGTATGGCATATTTCTGTCTGTCACTTCTTGTTTCTTCTGCTATCACTTTTCTTAGTTTCTCTTCAGCTACTTGCCTTTTGGAAATTTCTTTATGTTCTTGGTCAGGTGATCTCTTTTCTTTGGGCAACATTACTTAATATATTCATTATTCTCAGTTTACATTGATTTCAACCCCTTTCTGCACCATTTTAACTTCTGTGCAACACATGCATGAGCAGCAAAAGCTCTTTTGCTCCACTCAGTTGAGTTATTTGTGTGCCTTTAATATTGACTAGTGGTGGCCTAATAGAAGTCTTTGTTCATTTCAGGAACAAGACACTTTGTATCCTAGTTGGTTAGGGTGTTAGGTACATTGATTTTGACAAATGTATAAAAAAGAGGCATGTGCTAGTCTCTGTATCCTGCTCAGTTCATTAACAAACTGCAGGATTGCAATACAGTGTCAAGGATCCAAAAGGTTAATATCTGTTCTTTGCCTGCATTGCTAACCCTTTTTTTTGCAGTTAGTAAATTCAGTGAGAAGACCTTGCATACTTTGACTTAAGAGTAATTGAACAATTATTTATGGAGTTTCTCTAAATAATCTTCACAAACTCGATTATGTGGCTTTTTATGCCTTTGTTCGACATCTCTTCTTTTTAACAAGTCCTTGTTGCAGTCTTTACTCCAACGTAAAATTCTACACACCATGTTAGCCACTCTTGATACATTTATTTTACTTTGCTTAAGAACAAAATTCATGGTTCTCTTACCTCTACCATTACCCCACATTCCTTTTCTTCAAACATTCTGATAACATGATGGCCTGAAAAACATTCATTATGGAAATGTTCACACTTATGTAAAAGTAGAGAGACTAGAACAGTAAGTCTCCACGTCCTCATACCCATCTAGGAGCAGAATTTGTGGCCACTTTTGTTTCATCCTTTTCTCTTAAACTCTCTCCACCCGACATCCCTTTGCAGGATTATATTGCAAATCATAATGGTTTATGTTTAATTGGTAAAATGAAATAAGCTATTTTAAAGTTTTTTGGCTGATCACTTCCTTTCCATTTTTATTTAATGTTATTACTTAAGTCAATTCTTTTTTATTTAATAATATTCCACTATTGTTTTCTGGGTCATAGCGAATATCAATAGGCTATGTTTCTTAGACTCTCATCCATCTTCTTTATTTCATTTCCAAATATCCTACATTCCTTGATCAGTTTTTCTTTGGGTTTATTCTTGTTTATTCAAACGTACTTTGGGGGCTTGGAACTTAGTCAACAATTTCTTCTTTAGATATTTCAGTTCTGGCACTTCAATAGTTTATGCCATGTAGTTTAAAACCTTCTGGCCTACATTGCTGTGCCTTCCTGCTTTGTCCTCTAAATACAAATTTCTAGTTGCATCTGAAAATGCATTTTCCCACAGCAACATTTTCAGTGATCTTTATGTTTTCTTGATGTGACGGTCTTGGAAAACATTAGTATAGATTTTAATGTATGCTTTATATAAGTGATTCTCAACCTAAACCAGGTTGTAAAACTCCATAGAAGTAGAATAGCATGAACTAGTTATTTACTTCAAATCCTTAAACTAGGTAAGAAAATATGACTATTATATAGTGCAGATTTCTGCATTCCAGCATAAAGGTAAAACTGCATACCATTTTTAAGAAATCACATATCCACTCTTGTAGTTGATCTTTGACTGCTTTTTGTCATCTCTTACATGAGCTGGAAGACAGGAGTGGGCAATAAAACTTGAAGGCACATTTATAGGAGGAAAACTTAAAATTAAGACTGTTCTTTCCACTAGCTGAATTTTTTTTCTGATCAGTAAAAGACCACCGATATTCTGCTTGAGCAGTGGAGCGTCTTGATCCAGCTTGAGGAACACAGTGTTCCGGGGAGTCCTGGCAGTCTGGTACGCAGGAACGTGACCATCTGACTAAGAATACTGCCCTTACCCCACTTAGGAGTGATTCTTATTTTGGGTTTGTAAGGAGTCAATATAGTTCCCATGATCCCCCATTAAATGAATAAAGTACTAACAAAATGCAGTATTTATAACAAATAGGTAAAGTGCTTATAACAATGCCTAGCACATAGTAAGAGCTACACAACAGCTCTTACTATTATTAAAGTGTTACCTGGGTTTATTAAAGTTACCTGGGTTTCTTTTGGTACTTTGTCATAGAATGTGACTGGAACTTCTTCTGGTGCCTTCCTTGGGTCCATCTTCTCCCGACTCCAAATTAGGGGCTCATCCAGTACTGCATCTTTGGCCTCTGCCATTTCTCTCTCTAGATATACAGCCAGAGTGAGCGATATATAGTCTTCCCCATGGATGTCACAGAGTCTCATGACATGTGAGAAATTGTTGAAGGGCTGGAGATAGTTAACCTGAAAGAGAGAAAAGTTCATGGAACGTTTTCACAGGGCTGTTGGGAGGCTGGGGCCATGGCCAATTTCTGGGTCAATGACCCTTCAACCTTTCGTAGTGACAGACTGCTCAGTGACTCTGCCAGCCCTTTCCCACAAGAAAGCTTGAGCATTTGCAGAGGTGTCAGATCTCCTGAAGCCCCTGCGCAGGTGGGAAGATGTCCCATCGCGGAGCCTTGCTCTGGGGGGCACAGCGAGGACCAGGTGGGAGATGCTGATGGCACGGGGACAGCGTCAGGGGTTCAGTGTAAGGAAGGTGGTAACGGAGCAGGCAATTCTCCAGCTTTGCTGGACTGAAGAATCACTGAGGATGAGTTTTAAATCGTGATGGCCAGCCTGTGCCCTGACCACTTAGAATCAGAATTTCTGTGTATAGGGCATGTGCATCAGTATTTTTTATAAAGCTGATCCCAAGGCACAGCCAAGTTTGAGAAGCTAAATCGGGGTCCTTTGCCATTGGAACAGGCTCGCCGAAGTAGTGAGCACCTAGTCCGTGGAGCTTCTTCAAGCACAGAGCTTTTTTCTTACTGATTTGAACATTCTAGCTCTACTTGGTCTCTCCTGAACAGTATTTATTTCTTTGCTATATTAAACCTCATTTTACTTGTATTATTTAATAAATGTCTCTGCTTTTGATTCTCTGCTTTTTTCCTTTTGAACTGTTGTACACTTATTAAGTCTGGGGTTCTGTGGTACAAATGTATTTGTAATTCAGAAGAGAACAGGACTGAGTGTACTTACAGGAGCTCCTTTGGCCTGGGCACTGATTGACGTGAAATTTCACAGTATGAAAGGGTCGGGCTGGTTTATACAGTCTGTCTGGTCCTACTCATGCTTGTTTGTAAACAGAACAGCATTCCTAGTTTTTAGTCACTGATAATTTTTTTTCCTTTCAGATTTCATTCATTTCCTCTGATATCATATGGGAAAAGCTTAGGATGTCTAAAGACATTTGACCTTCCATAGGTAAATGGAACCTTAATACCATCAAAATGTCACTTTAAGCTTATGTGATAAAGCCAAAGCGATAATTAAACAGATCCTGTTATGAGAAATTACTGACCTCTATCTCAACAGAAAATGAAAAATCCGGGTTTCTGGCAGGGATCATGTTGTGTTAAGAGAAAGCAAAGTGTGTGGTCCCAGTGGCCTCTGTCTCATTCCCAGTAAGGAATCCTCAAGAATGTACTGGCTTTTCATCAGCATTCAGCTGGAACATTGGAGGCCACTGTTTAGACATTAAGAGCTCATCTATGCAGCTTGTGGGGTCCCCAGGAGAAGCCCCCATCTGTGGGAAGGTATCATAATCATACCCAATTTATAGATGAGCAAACAGACCCAGAGAAGCAACTTGCCCAAGGTCATACAGCTAGTGATAGGATTGGAGCCTGGCTGTTGGGCACCCAGATCTGTGACCCTGGTCAGGATTATAATTTTCTTAACCCTTTGGATGGATCATTACTGCCAAGCCCCATTTTTCAAGCCAGAAAAACATCAACCAAGGGTAGAGTATCAGCAGCAGCAGCAGCATCCCCACCACCTAGTCATCAGTGTGCTAGGGCTGCTGTAACGGAAGACCACAGGCCGGGCAGCTTAAACAACAGGGGTTATGCCTCTGGAGGCTCGAAGTCCGCGTCTCTGCTGGGCTGGAGCCTCCTGAGGGCTGGGAGGGAAGGGTCTGGTCCAGGCTTCTCTCCTTGGCTTGTAGGTGGCCTTCTTCTCCCTGGGCCTCTTCACATCCTTTTCCCTGTATGTGTATCTTTGTCCAAATTTCCCCTTCTTACATAGACACCAGTCGTATAGAGTGGATGAGGGTGACCTGGTTGACTTAGCCTGGACCACGTGCTCTACCAGCTTCCTCAGAGGCCGACGGATCCTGAAGCTGATATCCAGAGTGGCTGGGAAGGAAAAAGGAGGAGGCTGGGCTGCCTGCGTCATACGTATCCACAGCAGTCCTCTTGACACTGGTGCGATATCACTTGGACACTTGTGGAGGGAGGGTTATGGATGCTGAAACCTACATTCCTTCCCACCCTCTTACCTCCTTACAAGGGGTAGAGCCTGGGTTAGTATCTTCCTATTCTCTTTTCTTCAATTCCAATTTTGACCTTTAATTAAACCCATTAGTCTTTAAAATTGGCCTTATCTTTTCTAACATCAATAGTCAACAATGGATGGTTTTGTAATATTTCTCCTCAGTCTACTCTTGAATGTATCCTGAAGATATTCCACCTGAGTTACTGAATTGTTTTTTAAAAAATCAAAATTGAGAACTAAGTTCACTCTGTGTTTCATGTTTCAGGAAGAAGGTGTTAAAAACTTTAAGCAACCATCACAGTAATGGATCTGTGTCAGAAAAACGAGACTGAGTTAGAAAATAGTGAAAATAATGAAATCCAAAGTACAGAAGAAACAGAATTAACCTATACTTGTCCAGATGAAAGAAGTGAAAAGAATCATGTTTTTTGTCTTCTCAATATCAGTGACATTACACGTGAACAAGATGAAGAAGCCCATGAGTTTGCCATCAGAACCGGGTGGGACGAGGCGGTGAGTATCGCGAACTCTGTCTCTTGCATGTCACTGCTTTCATGCCAGCTTTTTCTTTTATTCTTTTCAAAAAGAGTCACTATTACCAAAAAATGCATAAGCAATGAAATGTAGAAACCTCAGGGACAGAGGTCAAATATTAATGATGAAAGTAACAGTCCTTTGAGTATTTATGGCTGCTAGGCTTTGCAAACACAGTCCTGAACGCTTCATGTCCACCCGTTATTCATCCTCCCAGCAGCCCTACCAGGCAGGTATTATGAAGGGCCTCACTATTTGGACAAGGATACTGAGGCATCTGAAAGGTGAAAAAGTGTGCCGAAGATCACCCAGCCAGCGGCCAAGGCAGGACTTGAATCAGCAATTCTGGACTCCAGAACCTGAGCTCCTTAACTGTTGTGCGAGACTCCCCATGAGACCTGAGATGTGTGTCCCGGAGCCCTGTGGGTTTATTCTTAAACTATTCTTAGAATCAAGAGTAGAATCCTAAATTGAGAACTGTAGGGACATTTGGCTAAGTGATTCTCAGAGGACACCTGGCAATGTCCCCACTGGGGGTGTGAGGGAGGGGAAGCTGCTGGCATCCGCTGGGCGGAGCCAGGAATACTGCCTCACACCCTACAGTGCGCAGGTCGGCCCCACCTCAAGGGAGGAGCCAGCCCCGTCTTAGTTCCGGCTGCTGGAACAGGATGCCGCAGACAGTTATTGCTCACGGTTCCGAAGGATGGAAGTCTGAGCTCAGGGTGCCCATACGCTCAGGTTCTTGGTGAGGGCCCTCTTCCTGGTTATGCCCTCACGGGGCCTCCCTTGGTGCATGCAAGCTGAGAGATTCTTTATTGTCTCCTCTTCTTACAAGGGTGCTAGTCCCATAGGGGGCCCCACCCTCTTGCCCTCGTCCGACCCTAATTACCTACCCAAGTCCCCACCTCCAAATACTATCACTTGTGGGGGGTTAGTTTCAACAAAGGAATTTGTTGGGGGACACAATCGTATAGTCCATACCAAGCCCCAAATATTGGTAGTGCTGAGGTTGGGAAACCCTGATCTAATATGGGAAGTGAAGCCCAGACAAGGCAGAGCAAGTCACCCACATCCACTGGGCGGCTGGAGGAATCCTGCCTTGCGAAGCCTCCTCAGAACTCACTGTGCTGCTCACCGCCTCCTTAAGTGTTTGCGACCTTCCAGATACACACACTCATGCCAGATAAGTCAGGGTCCTAGGCCGTTCTATTTAAGAATTCAAAATGCTCCAAGTTTAGAAGACTCAGTTTACTATTGAAGGTAACTACTTTGGGAAAGCATTTTCTTTTAATTGGAAAAAGTCCCCCATGAGCACCATGCTTAGAGCATGCTTGCTGTCACACTCTGTCTAGGACGATGGTGCCACACCACTGGGCCTGCCTGCTGCCTGCTACCCCTAGCTCGCCCCACCCCACCAGCCCTGACTGGCTGCTCAGGCGGCCTTGCCACAGGACGGGTAACAGGGGCTCATCCCATCAAAGCCAGCTTCCTGCACTACCTCACTGCCCTTTGATGGTTTCTGTACTGGTGCCAGGGACCCCTGGACCAGAATTTAAAGGACAGAGAACTTCGCTGGCATGGATCTGTGAGGATTTCCTATGCTTGCAGAGCAAACGGACCTCACAGGAAACAGATGATTGGATGCCTCAGGGCTGTGCATTTTTGACCCAGAATGGCCCAAGGGGCCTTTCCTATGGCTACCTTTGTTCTTCCCCCTTGTAGCCCTGTGGAGACCCACCCCACTTGGTGGCTATGTGGGGGCTCCTTCAGGAAGGAGGCACAGTCACATCGCATTGCAGCTTGGCCCTTGGTCCCGGCAGATACCTGACCTTTTTGGAAGCACTCACCTGTGACAGCCCACCTGTAAGGACCCAAAGAGCCAGGTGTTACTGACCCCCCTCCTTGGTGCTTGGATCCCCTGCCAGGCCACCTGAGTATGGCCGAGATACAGATCCTCTGTACCAGCCTTGACCCAGGGCTCATGTGGGGTGCTTTTTAAAGTCCATCTTCCCAAGCCCCTCTCCCAAGTACTGGCTGAGTAGGCTAGTGGAACCCAGAAGTCTGGAATTTTAAATAGCAGCTCAGGTGACTCTTAGGGTCAGGCAAGTGGAGAGAGTGTGCTGATTCATCAGATGGGTATGTTTAATAGATTGAGAAAGACAAAAGTTCAGGAGTTGCTTCAGAATTTAGATTCTCCTTAACAAATATGCAATTAAGTAAAAGTTGACTTGCTACACAAGTACAGCCTGGAGGCAAATCCCTTTGGACAGAGGTGGGGATCAGGCGACTTGTCTCATCCTAGCTGCAGACCTGTTAGTGAACAGGCTGGGACCTTCGCTTTTCTACAAAAGTTGGAAAAGTACCCGGGAAGCTAGGGTCCAGAGGGATGATGTTTGAGTAAGCACCCAGTGGCCATCGGCAGCTCATGAAGGGACAGGAATGGATGCAAAGGGAGTTGGAGGCTGGGGAAGGTGTCTGTCGGCCAACTCAGTGTGCAGGACAGGGCAGCGGCCTTGCGGCCCCTGTGTATAATTGCATAAATCCAAGAACTGGGACTGAACTGTGCGAAAGAAAATGTGGGTTTTTTTGGTTTGAATATAATCAAGGAATTTTAGAATAAGAAAGGTCCAGATTCCAGGCTGCTGTGTTCCTGCAGTAACCTTGGGGAGAGCACCCATCCCTGAGCCCCCCGTTCCCACCCATGGCCTCCAGCCTTGGGTAAGCGCAGTGAGAAGGACACCATGCCTACTTCAGTGGCAAGCACTTAGTAGACTTTTTAAAAAATGTTATGCTTAACACTAGAGGAGTTTGGGGAGCCGAGCAGATGAGGTGAGGGGGTGTGGAGGGAGAGGAGGAAACCAGGTAAAGGGCTGCTTTTTGTGCAGGGTGACCAGAGGCTGGGTCCCTGCTTGGGTCTGGGAGACACTGCCACCCCTCACAGCCTCTCCTCGTCCCCTGTGTGGAAATGCACAGAACTTCTGAATGTGCCAGAACTTGTCATTGGATTTAATAACATTTTGAGCCTCAGTTTCCACCTTTGTAACTTGGGCGTCAGCATGCCTAATCATAGTGCTTCAATGAGGATTAAACAAACGGATGTCAGTAGATCTTCAGCTCGGTGCCTGGAATGCAATAAAAGCAAAGTTGCCGGATTTAGCGAATGGAAACAAAGAGATGCCCTGTTAAACCTGAATTTTGGTAAACAGCACCTAATTTGTTTAGTTTAAGTATGTCCCAAATGTGGTCCTGGATCTGGCAGCTCTGGCTAATGGTGCCCTTCGTGGCGAGCCCAGCCAGGAGACTCTGGGCATGGATGGAGCGGCACCGTGCCTGGGCTGGCGTGGACCCAGGGCCTGCCCTGCTGGTCCATTCCCCCCCCCCAAGAGCCTGGCAGTACAGCAAAGCCTGATAGGGGGACAAGTACGAGCAGTTTTTATTTTATTTTAATAGTTCTGACTTTATTTTAATGTGCATCTGAAGAAATAAACACATCAAGGTGACTGTTTACAGATACTATTGCTTAATATTTTAGCATTAACAAATCCTGCTTCTAGAATTTCAAATAAACATTCTGTTACAAATACTATTGCTTAGTTTGAGGAGAAAATAGGTATTATAAGTTAAAAAAAAACAAAACAAAGGTGAGTCAGTTGAAAAAAAAAATCAGTTCAAATAGGACAGTCCGAATGGGGATGTGGCCGAAGTTGGGGCAGCTCAGCCCAGAGTAACATGCCCCTCTATTTGCAGGTCCGAGGCTGGGGACGGACTTCCCCCACTGCCTGCATCTGGCCTACGAAGAAGTTTAAGAAGACGTGGGTGGGAGAAAGTGCCAGCCGCTGCTTACTCTGCTTCAGTCTCTCCCAAAGGAGCCCCCAGGCCAGGCCTCAGTTGGAGGCAGGGAAGTTGGAATTGGGGGCTTTGGCTGAGGTGGGCCCAGAGAAGGAGCAAGATGGCCCTTCCCAGGCTCAGGCCATCCGCCAAGGCCCTCTCACCACCTCCAGGGAGATCAGCAAGATCTGCTTTCCCACCTCCAGTCAGGTAGAGAAAAAAAGTCTGCAAATAAAGGAGTTTATTTGGTGCACGGAAGACTGGGCCACTCCTGAGACTGACAGGGGCAAGGACCCCAGCACAGGTGCTGACAGAGGTCCCTCCATTTCGGACTCCTGGATTTCAAAGGCCCTTTTAAATCTACCTCCCCTGAAGCCTTCACCCCAAAATACCTTGGATATTCTGGGTAAGAAGAGTAAGAACATTTTCTTGCAGCCAGAAGAGAAGGTGCTGAGTATGGAAAAGGGTGGGAGTGTGGCTTGTGCCAATGGGTTGAAAACAGTTGAGGGGAAAGATGAAAAGAGACTGGTTGGGCTGGCCAAGCCCCTGAAGATCCACGCCGTGCCGCCTTTCCCCACGAAGACACTGGCGGCTGATCCACAGTTGTGCTGCCTGCCCTGGGCGCCCCTGCCGGGGAGAAACCTAGGGGGCCGTCCCAGCCACAGCAACGTTCGCTACCTTGCCGCCCTGCAGCTTTTGCAGAAACGGGAAGTGCAAAGCTACAGAGCCAAATTCAAAGATAGGCTGCCAAGACCTCCCATGAACATCCGAAAGCGTGAGGCCAAGCAGGAAAACGGGCCCCACACATTGGATACCAAAGTGTTCCCAAAGCCTCTCCTGCCGCCCCTCACAGTGAGCAGAGTTATCCCCGGCCCCAGGCACAGACTCCTCTGAGTTGCTGCAGTGTGATTCCCTGGGAATAAGCACTGTTTGAAATTCATTCATCCTCTCCCCTCTCTCTCTCTTGCTCCCACCGCATCCTGTCCTCTCCCCTCTCCTCCCCTCCCCTCCCTCCCATCCCCTCTTCCTTCCCTCCCTCTCTCTGTCCCTTTTTGGTAGTACAAAGACAGGAAATCATATCATTGTATGGGCTTTGATTTATTCTCAAAACCCCCATAGTTATTTGTACCTGGTTCTGTTACTTTGCCATTTACAAAATACAGACTGGTAGTGCCAGTCTTAGCGTGGCACTCTCCACTCCCACTAAGCCAACTAATGGTGGGGAATCCGAAGGGCCCCCCTGGGTGAGCTCCCCTGGCCCCCTCTCCCCTGTCCCAGGTCAGCCTTGAGCCTACGTGCGTGGGCTCTTTCTGCCCCACTCTAGTGCCTTAAGCTAAGTGAACTGGGCTTATTTAGACCACATTATTTCCTTTTAAACCAGGCAGATACCTACCTGTTGTCTCATTTCTCTTGTAACAAAAATCTGATTGCAACAGAGATTGCTTTAATAGAAAACTCATTGTGTCCAAATGAGTATCCTTATGTCCAAGGTGACCTACACTTATACGCCTGGCTGTACCATACCCATTGTATCCTGTGTCCAAGGAGACATATCCTTATATCCATAGATATACCATACCCATTGTATCTTATGTGTCCAAGATTTCATATACTTAACATTGTAGTCTCATGCTAGTTTCTGTGTTGGGGAAGTTCAGCCACAGCTCTACAAAATCCATCCTGAGCAAAGCAGGTTAGGAATAATTATTTGAAAAAAAAACCCCACTGATTATTGTCACCACACATGCTTCCTCCAGCCTTACCTTGCATCTAATATTTGGAAATTCTGCACTCCAGACAGACACATATGGGATGGGGTGGTTCTTTCTCTCTTTTCCTATTCCCCTTCTCCCTCAATTTTCTCCCATGCATATTTCCTTAAGTTGTATATAAATTAAACATTTGTAAATGAGTTATATCTTAATGCCAAGTGACAATGCTATGTAGAGAAATGCTCCAAAAAATTTTGTAGTATGAGCAGCCAGTTAGCTACTCTATAATTGCAGTTTGCATTTGTTTAAGGTAGGTGGGCTGCACTTGAACTCTGGGTTTTCCATTCCCTAAATGATGGGCAGATGGAATATATGACTGCATGTGTAAACATCTGCTTTCCACAATTGGTCTTTGTAATGTCTGTTAATTTCAGTTTTTTGTTTTGTAGGTTTCTTTTTATGAAACACCAAAAACACAGGAATGATTATAGTACAGCTGTCATTAAAAGGTATATTTCACCTACTGAGGTTGGACCCTTCTTTACAGTCTAGAAGCAATATTTAGGCCCCTTCTTCTCTGAATGAAGAAACCATCTTAATTCCATCTCCAAGAAGAGGCCCTCATTTCCCATTGTGTCTAGACAGTGGGGGTGTTGGACCCAGTACTGTTTGAGGACCCTTCCGCTCTGGCAGTCTGCCTATAAATCTGGTTTTCCAAGCTTGCTCTCTAAACAGCAGAATAATGAAAAGCTCAATACGTAAAGCAGTCAGTAGTGATTGGGAGTGAAGGGTATGTAGCAGTGATGTGTACAGGGCCTACCTACTCAGCCCAGAGGTACTTTCCTTTCCAGGTCTTGAGGCAATTTGAGAACACTGATATAAGTTACAACAGAGTTTTTTTTTCTTAAGAAAATCTCTTTTTTTTTGAGATAAAGTTTATAAATTCTGTAAGATTTGGGGATAAACATAACAACAACTTAGAATTAAGAGGATGGCCAGTCTGAACAAAGCAAGGGACCAAAAATTTAAAGATCTGTAGTATCCTTTTTTGAGCAAATAATTTGCTAGAAGATTCTTCTGTGAATAGGTAAGAATGTTTTGCATTGAGTTCTCTTTATTTAGGTAATTATGCAAGTACCTGTTCAAGTCCCTCTTGGATCTTCTTTGCATTAGCCCAGGTTTGGCTTGTTCTTTATGGAGAGTCACTCTAGGCCTTGTCCAATTTCCATTCATATTGAATGAGGATGTCCAAACTGGTCTTAGATGTCCAGTCTAGGCAGAGGCTAAATGTTTGCTAGAAGGCGCTCTCCATTAGCGTTCTAGGTCACTGACAGGACTTCCAAGGAGAGCCTGCCCTTTCACGGAGGTAAGCATGTTGCACCTCAGGTAGGTGCTGGTTCTCTCAGGCCTCTCCAAACCGAGCATGGGGGGCTCTGTGTTTCCTCCTTCATTCTCTCATTTTTAGACATCTCATTAGTAAAACTTGCCAAAGTCCTGTGTTTCCTTAGACTCTAAAAATCACCAAGTGGAACCGTGGTAGCATGTGACCCAAGGCTCCTGCAGGGCCTGAGGTCACCTACTGGGTGGGGCCAGGCGGAGGCCTGGAGGTGGTACTGAGGGTCTGGGTGAGGTAAGGGAGGGCCTGGAGGGTGGGAAACTTTGGAGAGAATGCCTACCCAACAGAGAGATGAGGGGGTGGCACTTTTGAAGGACAAGAGGAAGACTTTAAATCAGAGTAAGGCCTGGCTACGTTTGGAACATGTATGTAGGATTTCGTCTGCTCAGGGAGACTTTTCCTAATTTTTAACTTTATTTTTTAAATTCTGGACTTTGTCCCCTATTGTGAAATATACCTGTACTTCAAAGACCATGCTAAATGATTTGAACCCAGAATCAAATTTGCTTTCACTCTCCCTGCAAGTTGAGGAGACTCACTACCCAGAGAGACCACAGAAGCCCAGCCTATTTCTCTGCGGGCGCCTCTGGCTAAGCGGGCCAAGCTGCAAGTCTGGAGGCCTCATATCTGGGGCTTTTTGGGGGTGTCTGGGCTTGGGTCCTGCACAACCTTGGTGCCACAGTTTAGGAGCTACTGAGAAGCATGGTGGCAAAGAAACAAAAGGGGCCCCTGTGGCCTGACCAAGAGCAGATACCAAGGGTATCACTGGTGCCACAGGCAACTCTCTCCCACTGTCTGCCAGGCTCCATTGGGACCCTGCAGCCAGGAGGGATACAAAGCCGTGTTCCCCGATGCCTGGGCTGAACTCTGCCCTGAGTTCCACTGCCAGTAATTTCACTTGAACTTACCAGAAGCTGTTCTTTCTAAGAGCTTAAAGCCCCTTCTGGGTATTCTCTCTATACTGAGCAAATGCATGAGGGTCAGGGATCGTTTTCTCCTGAGACCCAAGGAGAATCTGATCAACAGGGTAACTGTGCTCCATCAGGCCAGCATAGGGTCTGTATTCTGGGTGTCCAAAGGCTCCAATGTATCACCCAGGTGAGGGACAGGTGGACAACTGGGTGGAAAACATCACCTATAAGGCGGTAAGGAGAGCTTGAGCATATCATTCCTACCTGAAAGATGGGAACAATTACAGATACAGGATGTGGTGAAGATGAGGAGGTAAGGCATGTAAAATGCCAGCAGAGATGCGTGGTTTTCCTGAATGTAATGATCAGATCAAATGAAATAGCCTGGGTCAATTCTCTTTAATGAATGATGGACTGTTCAAAACTGTATAGAAATCCTGTGGGCATGGTGAGTAGTCATTTGGTGACTGGTGGGTCTTCACTCTTTGTTTTCAAAACTGTTTTGTAACCTGTGGCTTGGGACCCCTGTCAATCAGTCCGTGGGCTAGCTTCATGCCCTGGCCTTTCTCCTCATCCTGTTTTGCCTGAATTTCCACTGCACTAGTCTAAGCACCACTGCTCGGCAGATTAATACCATTGCCTTTTATACTGATTTTGTGTCATTCTGAGGTACTGCAGCAAAACGTTTACTTTTCAAGTTTAATCTCCCAGATCAAAGCTACCATATATCTTCTGGAACATAGTGTTAGTTTCACTCTTGCATCCAGTGCTGCAAGTAGAACGGGATCCGTCTTTTTCCTAGAATCTGAGAAGTAGGCATTTGGAGCCTTCTTTTAATACCCTCTTTGTCACTGGACATTGCAGCCTTTGCCCTATGAAATGAGGGGATTAATACCTAAGGTCCTTCCTGTCATTTTAGTGCAGGTCGGTTGCCTGCAAAGGTTATTAGAGACTCAATATGGTAAACAGTTTTATCACAGATATCCCATCAGATTTGCTCTGGATCTTGACCTTTGTGGTATAAAAAACAAAAACTAAGTGAATTTCAATTTGTACATTTCAAAAGCTGCTATAGTAAAAATCATTAATTTTTTTTCTACATAAGACTATGAGGACCCAACCTTCTCCAACACATACTTTCTAAACAACATACATACTTCTTAAAGGATCTGGTGGCCTAGCCTAATACTGCATTTACAGCAATACATAAAGCTCCACCCAACCAACCAGCTCAATCCCTGAAGCAGGGTTTCTCAGCCCCTGGCACTGACCCCATTTGGGGTTAGGTAATTCTGTGTTGTGGGGGCTGTTCTGTGTGTATGAGGAAGTTTAGCAGCATTCCTGACGTCTAGCCACTAGATGCCAGTAGTACCTCCAAGTTTGTGACAATCAAGAATGCAGACATTGCCAAGAGCCGAGGGCCATATCAGCCCAGCTGGAGAGTCACTGCTTTAGGGAATTAGTAACTCTATAATCTAAAATGCCTTTGTTTGCAGCTTCTCCGACAGCTTTACCTGCTTTTGAGCAAGAAGAACCTTGGCACAGGGGCAAAGGAAATGTGGGAGATGGCTTGCTTGCGTTATCCTGGAAAGCATAGATGTCCCGGATAGAAAGCCCTATGGTTCTCAGTTTTGTCCTGGTTCTTCAGTCTTCTGGAAGCAGTTGCCCAGATCCTCCAGAAGGAAGTGACCAGAGCTTGCTTTTCTGAGACAGTCTCTCTCATAGTAACAGTCAGGCCCTTCAGCCAGTGCCTGGAAGAGCTGCTGGCATTCTCTTTCAGGAGAATTATTGTTTTGGCAAGGTTTTCAGGAAAATTCCAAGATGTTAATATATTTACATATAATGCCATTATTCAAAATTCTCTACTGTTTAAGCAATACTCTCTTTACATTCACTACTTGTGCTAAATCAGTGTGACTATTAAGAGGCAGCCAACACTTGTTATGTATGTATGACACTCCTTGGTAACCCTGACAAATTGATACTTCACATGTTATATGAAAATGTTTCTTTTCCCCTCTCAGCTCAAACTTCAAAACTTTGTTCCCTGTTATCTTTTAAAATGAAAGCTTCTCTGCTTATTAAAATTCAAGGACTGCTAACTTGAAAACACCACAAACTAGCCTTATCTTCAGCCCCACAGGAAGGTTCTGACTAAGCGTCTAAATGTGAAAGAACTGTTAGCAAATTCATTTGTTTTAATCTGCATGTCTAGTTTCTTCAGAGCACCTGCAGATTCTGAAGAAAACTAGAAATCCACATTTCATTTGGGATAAATAGCAATGGTTCTGATGCTGCTAATGACTCTGCCACAGCTTAGTTTCTGTGCCAGTTTTGCCCAAATCCTTATGACTGATTTCTCTAATTTCAGAAAATGGAATGTCAGAGAGATATGGTAGTTATTTACAGAACTTTAAATCTGAAGACTTACTACGTAGGTACATACCTCCTCAGAGAATAGTGGTTTTAATGGTTTTAAAATATGTCTTAGGAAACAAGAAGGTGGAAAAGAAAAAAAAACCAACACCAGCTTACAATTCATTAATAGTGCTAGACTCTCAAATACAGCTAACGAAAAAGTGAAAAATTGTTTCCATGAACTGAGGTAAGACAATAGGGAGTAAACAATTCCTAAAACATAATCAGCCAAAGTTTGGATGGTCTCTCAAAAGTGTTCTAGAAAATCTTAATTTTTGAAGGCTGACTTTTTAAATAGGTAAAGCTATTGAGAAGCCCTTTAAATATCCTTCTGTGAGTTCATTCATTCAGATGCATTGACTTCTGCCAATTTTTTATTGCAGCACAAGTTCTACATTTTCTGAAACCACTAAACTTTTCATAACAGTGCAGGAAAAAAGGTAAGAGAGGGATCAGTTTCATATTCAGTCTTAAGCAGCAACATTTTTGAGATGCAATCATAAAACCAAATATTTCACCCATGGCATGGAAAAAGCAGTGGATCACTGGAAAGCAGAGTAAAAAGCTGCCAGCAGAAGCAGTTACAGTGTCACACTTGGAACAAGGTCTTACTGCCACATACCATGCTAATAAACTCACTTCTTTAGGCCAAATAAAATGGTCTTTATTCACCTTGAGGTAACCTATGCACTTTTTGAGAGTAACAAAATTGCCACAGAGATATAGTTTTAAAAAATCTTTTTTTCATTTCTTGAAATGTTGGCTGATTCGCTGATTAAAAAAAGAGTATCATTTGTTTCAATTTTGTTTTCTTTTCTGCAGCCTCAAGTCCTGTAGTATAGTAACTTGCCTGAGCATAAGGGACCAAAAGTTAATGGAAGGGCCTGGGCAGTAAGTTTCTCCTATGCCGACCTTCACTATTTTTGAATTTGCAGATTTAGAACAAAGCTAACAAATGTGTTTGCTATTCATTAGTAAGGCAATATAAAATTGTTTTTTTCTGAAATTTGTTGAAAGAACTGACTGAATATTAGTACTTTTCCAGTTCCAGTATTAGATAATGCTGATTATTTCATTCACATAGTTTGGTCATTTGCTCCTTTCAAATGTCTATTTTTAAATGTCTGTGCCCACATTTGTTAATGTT